TGGAAATGTGAGATGGGAATGGAGGTGGGGATGGGGATGGGAATACCAAAACCCGTACCGCCCCATTGACATCCCTAAGGAAGACGTGGAGGAGGAGCATGCACTTGCATCTTGTTAAAGATTTAGGAATTGATTTCTTGAGAGTTGAAGAGAGAGAAAATTGATTTTGACAATTGATTTACCTTAGGAGATTGAACTTTGAAGCTCTTAAAGAGAGAAAATGAGAGAAAGAGGATATGGAGCAGCGACTACATCTAATAAAAGTGATCCTTATGGTTTTACTTTTTATAAGGAACATGATTTTTGGCTTGGGCTGGTTACTTTGTTTAGAGTTTTTTAAAATGTTTAATCCTGATTTGTTTTCGGATTATTCAGGTCAGGTTCGAGTAAATCCGACCTGATTTCAACCCAATAATTTTTTCGGGTCATATAGGTCATTTTCGGGTTGGAATTTTCAATCTTAACTTAACCCATTTAATTTTCAGGTCAAGTTCGTGTCGACCCATTTAAGTTTTCGATTCAAAAATCTCAATTATAACTCGCTATATTCAGGTCGGGTATGTGTCGAATTATCGGGTCGGGTCAGCTTTTGCCACCCCTAGTGTTGTGTTGAGTTGTTGACCCATACAGTTTAACTATTCGTGTCAAAGAGGTATTAACACTAACCCTCCTTTTTTCGTGTCTTGTTCATGTCGGTTATCGTATTTTAAGTAAAAACGTTAGCCTCACTAAAAAAATTATCATAAATTATTGGTCATTTTTCTTAAGAGGGATGATTCGTGTTAATTTTGTATTGAAATTCTCAGCACTAACGACCGGCCCAACCTGGTTAATTAGACGTGTCGTATCGTGTTGACTCGTTTAATTAAATTTGTCGTAAACCCCTTACACTAATTCAGGCCAATATTCTGAGCTCCGGATTGTGTTGTATCGTGTTGATTCCTGATTTGAGCTCGATACATTTGATGGAGTAATCCATAGTAAAAGTTATTAAGTAGGCATGCTCACTAGTAGAAAAACGTTCATTTGTTTTGCCTTATTTGCGTCATTCATAGAAATAAATGAATCGGATGATATATTTTGGCTTCATCCTAAGTGTATGGGGGGTATGTGGAACGGGCTGACATCTTTTATAAATATGGATATGAACCCAGTATAGCTGACAAAATGGCTGATATGTCTTATAAAGCAGACATATCGGCCTGTCGGTATTTGGCACGTGGCAATAATAGCTTGAGACTTGGCAGGAAAAGCTTTGCATGCTTTGTAGCCACCTGTCTTAGGATTTATTATAAATAGTAGGTTAAACCTCATTAATGGTAAGCATTTATTACTATCTCTCTCTCTCTCTATATATATATATATCTCTTTCTCTCTAATTTCTCTTTCTTAAACACTGTCTGACTTTGTCATCGGAGTGGTTATCCCTGGATCACCCCAGGGTTAGCTAATCCTTTCTCTTTGTGTAGGTTCTCTTCTGACCGATAGGAGCTTAACGGGTTGCATACTCGAGCTTTGAACTTTTGAACCGGGTTGTCGGATCCTTGCAGGAACAATTGGCGCTAGAAGGAGGGGAGCTGCATACATAATTGCTTCTATCGCCTAAGAACCTCACATCCTTAATTAAAAAAAAATGCCTGAGAACCAGAGCACGTCGATAGCCGAGAAGGTGGTTAATCGGACAGTCAGAGTGGAGACTGGGGTGCTGAATCCGGAAATTGAGATCGAAGATGAAACTCATACTTTAGAAGGCAACCAGTTTCATATGTCGTTAACCCCGGAAGGTCAAGGTGAGGGGGATCAATGTCCAATGGCTGAGTTCACGCCAGAAGAACTAGAAACAGCAGCAAGGGTAATGAGTGCCATGAGTAAGAAAAGGAAAGAAATCAAGGCAACCCAAGATGGGGAAGGGGTGCCAATTACCAGTCATGGTAACCAGTCTAACCGGGCTAGAGGTTCGCAAAGGCGTCGACATGATAGGTCGCCGATAAGATCACAACCAACTCGATGGGAGTCAGAAGCTCAGTCTACAGGTCCTGTTGTAAGCATAGAAAATCAGCAGCAAGGGGCAGTGCGAACGATAGTCCAGTTGAGGGCATCACCGTTCGCACAAGGGATCTTAGATCAGCCTATGGATAAGATAAAGATGCCAACATGTCGGTATGATGGAAGAGGGGACCCAAGCCGATATATAACCTCCTATGAGGGGCATATGATCCTGTATACCAACTCAGACGCTGTATGGTGCAAAGTCTTTCCAACCACTTTGACCGGGCAGCAGCGGATTGGTTTAACAACCTAGGTAATGGAACCATAGACAACTTTGAGAAGCTGACAGAGATGTTTGTTGGGTAGTATATCAGCAACAGTGTAAGGCAAAGAACTTCGGGGGAATTGATGGCAGTAGAGCAACGACCAGATGAATCTTTGAGGGATTTCATCAGGCGGTTTAACAATGAGGCGAACACAATTCCAAAATTGCAACAAGAAATCGCTGTAATTGCTCTAATGAATGGCTTGAATGATTCTGAGTTCAAGAGTTATCTCACAAGAAGAATTTTCCCACGTTAGAAGCCGCTTTCAACAAAGCGCATGATTACATCAAAAGTGAAAAGTTGATGAAGATAAGCAACAAAAATGTGTCAGCTGAAGGTGCAGCCTCTGGAAGTGAAAGGCCGAGAGCTCCGGCCCCGGGAAGAGGAGGAAATCGGCAGGAAACTAGGGCAACCAGGCCGCCAATGCGATATAGTTCGTATACACCCCTTAATACACCAAGGGCGGAAATCTATTCAGTGAACCAGAATAGGGAAGGATGGGTGAGACCGATTCCAATGAAAGCAAAGCCGAGGGATGCCAAGAAAAATTGCATGTTTAACAGGGACGTGGGTCATTATACTGAAAAGTGTACACAGTTGAAGGATAATATAGAAGAGTTGATAAGAAAGGGTCATTTGACTCAGTATCGGTTAAATGCAGGTGGGAGCCAGCCACCACCTCGGCAAATTGAAAGACAACAACTTGAGGTAAGGCCGGAAAGGCCGCAAAGTGGGGTGGTCCGACAGGGAGGTGGAGGAATGCCACCATTGTCAACAGGAAGAGGAATTGATATGATAACCGGAGAGCCGGTACATGGAGGAACAGTTAGTGGAGCAAAGAAACACTTATTAGAGCACCGCCATTTAATCAATGCCCTGGATACCAATAGTAGCCCCAGGCCAACTTTAATTCCCGATGTTATATTCACTGAAGAGGATACAAGGGGAATAGTCTTCCCACATGACGACCCGCTGGTGTTGATAACCAAGATCAATGGAGATGACATCAAAAGAGTTCTAGTAGATGGAGGAAGTTCGGCAAATGTTCTATTTATGAAGGCCTTTAATGAGATGATTATAGGAAGGTAATACCTGACACAGGTATCGTATCCAGTCATCGGGTTTAATGGGTCATCAGTGAGACCGGAGGGGAGCATAGTTTTGCCGGTACGGCTGGGTGATGGACCAACTACGAGAGATATGATGGCAGAGTTTTTAGTAGTCAATGTTCCATCGGCTTATAACGCGATTATTAGAAGGCCGATAATTCATGATATCCAAGCTGTTATATCGACGTATCATTTGACGATAGCTTATGTGTCAAATTTGGGGGCTGTGGAGAAAGTTCATGGAGGGCAAGTGATGGCGAAATCTTGTTATGTAACAGCTTTGAAGAATCCAGTTGGGGATGGTTCAGTGCCGAGTAACCCTAAAAAGGAACTGGAGCCAACGGTGCGTGACTTGTCTATGAGTAATTTTGATACAAGACCAGAAGCAGCTCCAAGGCCGTTGCCAGGAGGAGAAACGGTGCAGGTTAAGTTGCTGCCGGGTGACTCCAGCCGAACGGTTAGAGTTGGAGCGGATATGGATGTTGACATGAGATGCAATTTGATAAGTTTATTGCGCGAGAATACTGATGTCTTTGCCTTCTCAGCGAGTGAAATGTCAGGGATTCACCCAAGGGTAATGGAATATAAATTAAATGTCAGTAGGGGATTCAGGCCAGTAAGACAGAAAAAGCGAAACTTCTCTACTGAGAAGATAGAAGCTATACAAGCGGAAGTCAATAAACTCTTAGCGGCGGTTTTTATTGAGCCATGCATGTATCTAGAGTGGTTGGCAAATGTTGTTATGGTAAAAAAGCCGACAGGGAAGTGGCAGATGTGTGTCGAATTTACTGATTTAAACAGGGCTTTTCCCAAGGACTGTTATCCGTTTCCTCGGATAGATAGACTGGTGGATTCCACTTCCGGCCATGAAATGCTTAGCTTTATAGATGTGTTTTCAGGGTACCACCAAGTCAGTCTTCACAAAGCCGACAGGGCTAAAACGACCTTCATAACGGATGCTGGGGTATATTGTTATAAGGCAATGCCATTTGGGTTGAAGAATGCCGGGGCGACCTATCAGAAATTGGTTGATAAGATTTTTGAAAGACAGAAGGGACGAAATGTGGAGGTATATGTGGATGATACGATTGTTAAAAGCAAGAAAAAGAGGGATCACATAGCAGACTTGAGGAAAACATTTGAGACCTTACGGAAGTATCAGATGAAGTTGAATCCAGAAAAGTGTGTGTTTGGGGTCCGATCAGGGAAGTTTTTAGGCTTTATGGTTAGTGAGCGGGGAATAGATGCAAATCCTGATAAGGTGAACGCGGTACTTGAGATGAAACAGCCAAAGACTATCCGAGATATACAAAGGCTGACTGGCAGAATGGCAGGATTGACTCGTTTCATCAGCAAGTCAGTCGATAAGGCACTTCCCTTTTTTGTGGTCTTACGGAAGAACAAGGAGTTTGAATGAGGAAAAGAACAGCGGGATGCATTAGAGGTAGTAAGGAATCATTTAAGATCTCTCCTAACGGTTGCAAGACCGGAAAGAGGAGAGCAGCTGTAGTTATATATCTCAGCATCTCCAAAGACAATAGTTGCGGTGTTAGTAGTGGAAAGGAAAAAACAACAAATGTCGATATATTTTGTTAGTCATGTCCTGAATGCAGCAGAGCGCAGATATCCAATAATTGAGAAGATGGCATTGGTAGTGGTGATAGCGGCAAGAAAGTTAAGACCATACTTTGACGCGCATCCAATAGATGTTCTGACAAATTATCTGTTGGAAAAGCCTTTGCACAAGATGGATACGTCAGGACGGTTGTTGAAGTGGGCGGTGGAGTTGTCGGAATATGAGATACACTATAAGCCCAGGGTATCAATAAAGGCACAAGCCTTATCTGACTTCAGAGTAGAGGCTTCATGTACAGATGAAGAGGAGGAAATAGGCACCTGGCAGGTTTCAGTAGTTTGTAATTTGATGTCTAAAGTTTAATAAAGGTTTTCCTTTTTATTTTGAATGATCAAGTACGTATTTGACATATGAAGTATTTATTATTGTCAATTTATAACGTCACAGGTCTCTGTGGATGGATCCGCAACATCAATAGGATCAGGGGCAGGAATAGTTGTAACGACCCCAGATGGACAGGTCTTTGAATATGCAATTAATTTAAATTCAAGGCAACCAAAAATGAAGCTGAGTACGAAGCAGCAGTGGCTGGAATTCAGTTATCCATTGCGGCTGAGGCAAAACGGTTAATTCTGACAACTGATTCCCAACTCGTGTCAAGTCAGTACAATGGAGAATATAAGACACAAGAGTCAACAATGATCAAATACCTAGAAAAGATGAATCAACTAACGGCACAACTGCAGTACTTTGAAATAAATCTTGTACCGAGAGCCCAGAACGTGCAGGCTGATGCTTTGGCAAGATTGGCTACTTCAAGTTTCAATAACTTGGAAAGAACCCTGATGGTTGAATTTTTGAGTCAGAAGAGTATAAATGAAGTATCAGAACAAGTACTTTGTGTCAATAGCGCCACCCAATGGTATGATAACATATTGGCATTTCTCATACATGGGGTGTTGCCAGTAGATAAGGGAGAATCACGAAAGTTACTAAAGGACAATGTGTGGTTCATTATGCATCAAGGGCAGTTGTATAAAAGAATCTTTTCATTACCGTTGATGAGATGTATAAGTGATCTTGAATCGAAAAGGTTAATTGAAGATATACATGAAGGTACATGCAGCAACCACCTCAGGCCGAGAGTTCTATCAAGAGAAGCAATGAGGAGAGGCTATTACTGGCAGACTATGAATGAAGATGCGGTCCGATATCTGAGAACATGTGAAAAGTGCCAGAAGTTTGCGCCAGCTATCAATCTACCGCCAAACGATTTAACACCAATACTGAATCCGGTTCCTTTTGCGCAATGGGGAATGAATATAGTAGGACCGTTTCTATCAGCAACAGGAGGTAGGAAGTTTTTATTGGTGGCTATTGATTATTTCACAAAGGGGATAGAGGCTGAGCCGGTAGCGAAAATAACAGCGGCGGAGGTTAAAAAATACATTTGGAAAAATATATTCGCAAGGTTCGGGTTGCCGATGGCCATGGTTTTCGACCATGGATCTCAGTTTGATTGTAAGCCGGTGAAAGAGCTTTTGTCAATGTACAAAGTAAAATTTTCTTATGCGGCGGTATGCCATCCGCAATCGAATGGGCAAGCGGAAGCAGCGAATAAGCAAATCATAACGGCAATTAAAAAGAAGATAGAAGATGCAAAATGATTATGGGCTGACTTGGTACCAGAAATATTTTGGGCAAATAGAACAATGGCTAAAGAGGCAACGGGTGAATCGCCTTTCACGTTGGTTTTTGGAACAAAGGCAATAGTGCTGGTAGAAGTAGGATTGCCAACATTTAGAATCCAACACTATTGTGAGGAACAAAATAATCTTCTATTACGACAACAATTGGATTTCCTACCAGAAGTGCGGGAAAAGGCAGCAGTTAAATCGGATGCTTATAAGAATAGAATGTCAAGGGCTTATAATAAGCGCGTCAATCATCGACCTCTTACTGTTGGAGTTCTTGTATTACGAAGAACAGCCGCGACAGGAAAAGGGAATGAAGATGGGAAGTTAACGGCAAACTGGGAAGGACCATACCGTATTAGAGATATGGAAATACAGGGTTTATATTTCCTAGAAACAATGGATGGAAAACCGTTAAAAAATGTTTGGAACACAGCTGTGTTAAAAAAATATTTTGCATAGTATATTGTAAGTAGAAAAATAAGCAGTGCTATGTATTCTGAGAAGCATCAGCAATAAATACAAACAATTTTGAAGAAAAATTGTCATTTTATAGGCATCCTCTACTTAACATACCACCGTTATGTAGGATGGACAACTAAAAACCACTTTCGTGAAGTCAATGCGCTTATAACCTGATCAGTTATAAACATTGGCTCACGAGGTTGTTGGTTCAACGTATAATACCGGTAAAATCGACTCAAGTATATGCTAAAATGAGGCATAACTTTGAGTGTGATCACCGAGAGGATGCTTAACTGGCTACGACTATAGCGCAGTGAGTGATCAAGGTTGTACAATGAACCAACAAACAGTGTATATAATTGTTTCTCAACCATATACACTGTGGGGGCAGAATAGTAAATATACGTATATGTGCTTAAGTTTATGTTTGAATTATTTTTAACATAAATTTTTAAAAATTTTCCAACGGCGTATTCTGGTAAAATTGCCGATAATGATAAAATCAAGTTGTCGCGAAAGATGATATTACGACTAAAGTAATAGTTGAAAGCTAAATATTGCGATTGAAGTAATGGTTGAAAACTAGAAAAGCTGACAGTTGGTAAACAAAAAAGAGGATGCCGCAGGTATAAAATATATGGTGAATTAAGAACATCTAGATTAAGAACGTCTAGTAATGAAAATTTTGAGAATAGATACGATATGTTCAAACAGATACGATATGTTCACAACAGTTAGAGATAACAATCGACAAGCATCACCACAAAAAAGGGCATATGCCGATACAACAGCATTGTAGATAAAAATTCAAACAAAAACAAATAATTACATGTTTAAAGTTAAAGCTGATAAGGCCCGACTACGCAAGACCCACAAGAGGATGTCGGTGATGACTGCCCGCCCCTTTAAGCTTGTGTATTTTCAGGAGCTGGGAAGTTTAAGATGCTAGGATTTGAAACGCCTTCATCATCATCTGGAACCAGGTTGAAAAGGTCTTCATCTGCAAACTTTTGTTCCTCGAAACCAGAAGGAATCTTGTAAGCTTCTTCATTAAAAGCCTTTTCAACAGCGACCCAGTCCTCTTTCTTCCAGCCAGTAGCGTGAGCAATGCATCTTTGAGAAGCAGCCCATCCCCCATCAAAATGGTTCTGAAGCCGTGTGCAGAACTCCTGAGATGTTAGAAAACGGTTAACTGCCCATTGCTGGATTCCAGGCTTATCCGCCTCCAACTTCTGAACTTTTTCTTCAAGATCACGGATGGAAACCTTGGCAGCATTAAGATCCTTCTCAAGGGTAGGAAGGCGGATGATAGCCTTGTTTTTCTCAGCAACTTGGGTCTTCAATTGTTAAACTTCCAATTCAAGACCCTCAACCTTAGAGGCTTTATCCCTGAGAGATGACATCTCAAGATCGTCCCTCTCTTTGGCTTCCTTTAAATTCTGCAGAGCCTTATCAGCATTATCTTAGGCCATTTGAAGTGCGTTTTGATTAGCAGAGGCTTGATGATGCTGTTCTTAGTAATAGCGGTACATCTCAACAAGCTCAGTGCCAGACATAACGACCTATGTAATAATAAAGATAAATAAGTCAGTAATGAAAACAGAAAAATGAAAACACTAAAATATAATGAAGATTACGGTTATATAAAAGCTATATTAGTGAGTAAATGGTGAGAACCTTCATCATGTTGTGCATGTGCATAGCAGCCAAGGGGCCGATGACACCAGCAGGCCTATCCATTGGGAGGGTCAAGTTGCTCAGAAGTCGATAACCAAGAGTCCCGCCTAGCATTGGGTCATCAGTGATCATCGAATCGTTCCGACATGCGTCAATGACAAGTTGCCATCGATCCCCAAAGTGGCCGTAAAGGACAGAAAATCCTCCAAGAACAACCTCTGGTATCCTCTCATTGGGGCGCTCGATCCACTGGTTGGATTGATAAATGAGACCGGGAGCGCTTGTGTCGGAACCGCCGACAGCGGTGGTAACGGTATGGGCTGTTGGCTGGTTGGATATATTAGGCTGAGTTGGGGTGGGAGATTCTGTGTTGGTAAGATCTTCAACATCCACTCCGTCGATCACCTTCTTGACAATTGGTTCAGAGCTTTGGACAACTGTTTTCACTTGAACCCTTGGAGAAGGAGGATTTTCCTTGTTCTCGGCTTGATTCTTCTTAGCACGGTCATCAGGTTGCCGAGTAGTACCAGTCCTGACAGCGCCACCCCGCCGATTAGCAAGAGAAGCCAGCTTCCTCTTTTTGGTATTGTCATCGGCCATATTCTCAGCTCTTCTCTTGGCACTGACGGTTGGAGCGCGACTACAATGTGTAACAAGGGTGTCATACAAAGGCTTGGTAGCTTTAGGGAAGCGCTTGATAACCTTCTTACCGTCAGCCGAGAGACCAAGCAATTTATTATCCAATTTGTCAACACCTGAAGGCACAATATACCTAGTATCAAAATCTCATTGCATGCAAAAGACTGAACAGGAAAACAACACAGTAAAAAGAGTTAATTTTATTAAAAAAATTAGTGAATGAGTTAATACCATAACGGTCGGTCCAACAAAGACCAACGTGAGATAAAGGGGCGTTTCCGAGAATGTATCCTGCATTCGGCACCCACACCTTAGGGGTAAGACGAACTCGACCGTCACCATTATCAGATTCGATAATGTCAAAATGATTGACAGCCCTACACTCATGTTTGCCAAGATTTCACTCGGGAATAGACCTTGGATGGGGCCTAAAGAATGTCCTCCTGAGTGGGAAGTCATGGGGAACCGACATGAAAAAGAACTTGTCTTGCCACCCTTTGCAACTTGATAACTTAGGGTGAACGGTGTATTTGTGAGTTTGGGTATACAAAGACCACCACCCATCCGATTGGCCATCTCTCTTTAGAGTTAACAGCCGTCTGAATGCGTTGAGGGTTAGCGGATAATTTCTATGCAGCAAAACCCAAATAAGGGAAATAACGGCATGGATGGTGGGAGGGGTTAGCTGTACAAGGCTAACGTTCCAAGCCTTCAGAATTTTGGCCACAAAAGGATGAAGAGGGAACCGAAGGCCGAAATCAAAATGCTTAAGATAAATAGCAACGTGGCCAATAGGACAGTCTAACACTGAGGATTTAGAAGGAGGAAGAAAAAGATCATACCTATCCGGAAGTTTATAAAACTGCTTGGTGCGCTGGCAGTAGTCCTTTTCCAATATCGTCTGCCTAAACTTGTCGCTTATCTTGGCTTCTGCGACTTTACCTTTAGCTGCTAAAACAAGAGGTTGTCGGAATTCGGCCCCATCAGTCTCAAAATTATATCCTTCATCAAGACTCTCTTCTTGAATGACTTCTGCCGTCATGTCAATAATGTCGTCCCTGCTGTCAGTATTTACACTACCTTCTTGGGTATCATCATCGCCAAGAACAGAGTTAACAACCGATTCGTGAACAGGAGAAGGCTGGTTTCTCTTTTCCGTGTCATCGGATTCAGAAGAGCTTACAACTTGACCCTGCCCAGCTTTCTTGCTTGACTCGGCCTCTTCAACGGCATCACGAGCAGCAGCCTCGGGCTGGTAACTGGTACGCTTAACTCTTCGCATAGTATTTACACCTATATTCCCCATGTTTGAACCGTATTGATCAAATTGGGTATTAGCAAAACTCCTCAAATGATAATGAATACTAACCGGTTCAACCTCAAGGATTTCAATTCGGTATCTTCCAGTATGTTAGGATTAACAGGACGGTTTGGTTTTTCACACTCGGCTAATATTTTATGACGGTAAAAGGCCTTCTTTTGTTCTTCTGTAGATAGCGGCTGAAAGGGGTCGTCAATATTGTTAGAAAAGGAGGAAGTAGTCTCTCCGGTTCGACCAAGGTCTTTTCCTAAGGATTGTCTATTAAGGCGGCGCCTAGCAGTACTAAGGGTAGGTTGTTCTTCTTCAATACTATTATTGGACATCTAGTTTTTTGGTTTATAAACTTGAAAATGAAAGGAAAAAAAATATAAAACATGCAAATTTATTTTTATAAAAAAAAAAAATCAATCAAAATCAGAGTTTTGTATATACCTTAAAGTATTCGCCAACAACGAAGCGCTTCAACAACTTGATTGTGCTGATAAAGCGAGTGCAAAGCACAGACAATCGCTAAGAAATTACGCAAATCGTGAACCCCTTTGTTGAAATGCTCTCTCAAGAACCGTTCTTTCTTTTCGAAAAATGGCAATGAAAATGAGTGAAGTGAAGACGAAAGGTTATTTTTTTTAAAAAAAAAATATAAATATATAATAAAAAGAAATAATAAAAACGGTTGACGTGACAACCGTGTCAGAAATCTAATGGTTAGAAAAAATTTTAAATTAAAATGGCAGGCCGTTAGATTAATGACACGTGTCTAGCCTCAATATGCATTTTCCGCTTTTTTCCTTAAAAACCTAATAAACGATTCATTTTCTGAATGCGTTATATAAGTGGTCTTGTCTGCTTACGGCACACAAGGTCTCTTGGG